ATCGTGCACCGCATTAAAATCTTAAGTGTGGTGTGGCTCACAGAGTGCCCAGATGTTGTAGTGTGATTCTAATGTTAAGCTAATATGAGGTGAAGTCTGAGTAACCTCGGCGTTGGGGAAGATTATATGTGTAGTGTGTAATGTAGCGTTATCTGACTGCTACTTATCTCTGTAGGAAGGAAGATGCCTCCCATAAAAGACACAGGCAAGGGAAAGTCCACCTCAACGGCCCAAGCTAAAGCAAAGTCAACCTCTGCACCTTCTCCAAAGAAAAGAAAATGGGGAGAAGCTGCCTCTAGTATGATTGGTGCCCAAGCGATGGCACCTGTAGCTGCCATGCGGCTACAACCCGCAGGACAACGAGAATTTGGCATAAACATCATACCTCTACAGATGATGGATTGGTACAAGCGTTGTAGGCCTAAACATATCCATCCGAAGGAAGCTATCCAGGAACGCAGTGTAAAAGCAAAGTATCCAGCTATTTGGAAAGGCATCCAGGATTTGGGGTTAAGCTATCTTTTTAAGAACACAGGGGACATCAACCTCAACTTAGTCAGGGAATTCTATGCAGGGTTTGACCCACGGGACACTGAAGAGTTAGTGCCAATCTGTGGATGCCTGATTGATTTTTCAGCCAAGGCCATATGTGATTTTCTAGGTGCTCCAAATGTTCCTGTGGAGCCACTGGAGCAATTCATTCACAGGCCTACTTATAGAGAGTTGAGGCACATGCTTTGTGGGGTTGACTCTACTGCTGCATGGGTTCGAGACAAGGAAACAAATCATCACAAGAGGTTCCCTAAGAAGAAGATGAAGGCGGAGGCTTATGTGTGGCTCAAGTTGATAAATGCACGGCTCCTACCGTGCAATCATGACCTGCTTGTAAGCCGTGTGAGGACTTGTGTATTATATTTCCTTATGACAGTGCATAGGGTGAATGTGGGTCACCTGATTTGCCACCAGATGGCACAAGTGAGAACGAGTAAAAAGATTGATCGAATGCCATTTCTTAATTTCCTGACTCGGTTCCTACAATATAAGGGGGTTGAGATAGAGCCTGAATTTGACCACATTATCGATCAGCTCATCCGACAAATAGACATCACTAATCTCTGGCTGAAAGGCAAGGCTGGGACACTGATAGGTGATGAGCGCAATGCGCGTGATGACAGTTTCATGGACCATCTTTATGGGATGATGGATTTGCAACTGCGTATAGGGGGTCGCCCGGCCACATCTGAGGAGAGGACTGATTTGGAGCAATGATACCCGCTCAATACTCATGCTCAACAGCTGGTTGGTGTAGGAGAGGGATCCAAACTCGCCACTGATGAGGATGTTAACACACTGGAGAATTCTGAGGCTGAGCCAATGCCGTCAGATGGAGAGGGAGATGGTGATGATGGAGAGGACGAACATGATGAAGAGTGGAGAGCGTCAGAGGATGACGACGCTACTTGACCAGGGAGTTTTCTTGAACCATACTCTTTTTATTTCTTGTCTTGTCTAATCGTGCATGCACTGAGGACAATGCATGATTTAAGTGTGGGGGTGAGAACTTGTAGATATTACTAGTGTTAGCTTGTTTTATTTTTGTTAGTTGTAGCTTGTTAGAATTTCTTGTTTTATTATTATTGTGTTTTCTTGTTAGTTGTTAGATTGTTTTTATTTTTAGAATTTTTGTCTTGTTTTGTTTTTATTATTAGTGTGTTAGTTGTTTTTAGGCATAAATTTAAAAAAAAACTAAATATTTTGGACTTCCCGACGATGGATCTCCTAGACAGTTTTCTTGAGGGAAGTAAGTCTAAATAAAATACCAAAAAGATTTTTTTAGGTAGTGTAGTAATTTCTCCTTTATTTTTCTTTGGGCCGTGGTTCTTTTTCAAGGGTTTTTAGTTGAACCGGGTGTAGGTAGTTTTAAATTTTAGGAGTAGGAATCGCGTGGCTAAGCACATAATCGTAGCAATATCTCTGAACTTGGTGATGCCTTGAGAATAGTCAGTACTCTGGTTGAGACATTTAGGCTCAAATTTTTGACTCTAGGATAAATACCTTAAATCGTAGATTCTTAAATTTGCTTAATTGCTTTGACTGGAGTGTCGTGATAGAACCAATTCTAAATGAGTTATGTGCCATGTGCATTGCATTTGATGTCTAGAACTTGCCCCGTGTGTGTGCAAAGCAAAATAGTAGTCTTGTTCAGTTTGAGAAGTGATATAGGCAGTTCTTTGTTAAGCTAGATACATATAAAGTACCCACCTAAATGTTATGTATCGTAGTTAACCCCTTTGAGCCTATAATCCTGTTACTTTGGTAACTACATTACAAATCGTACCCCTTTGTTTGAATCAACCGTATATTTGAACCTTGTCACCTATCATGAGCACTTGAATTGTGATGAATTATGAAAAAGTTAAAGTGTGGGGGTAGTGGATTGGCGTTTGAGTGGAACAATGAAATAAGGAGAAAGGTGCACCGGATGAAAAAAAGAAATGTATCAATAAAAGCCATTGGGATAGAAAAAAAAAGAGAAAAGAGAAAAAAAAAAGAAACAAAAAATTATATATATATATATATATATACAGACACAGTAGTGTATGAAGAAAGGAAGAAAAAATACATAAATTCTGATGGTGGTGGCTTTGATGTATTGGTGCTTAAAGAAGTAGGGGCTGAAAGATAGTGAAGGTTGAAGTATTTGTATTAAAGTGCTTAAGGGAGGTGTAGTCACTTATATCCAAATGTATCCTACCTGACGCGCAACCTACATTACAACCAATGAAAGTCTTATTTGATCTTAGACTGAATGAACTCGATTAGTGAAGTATTACACTAAGGGCAAGCTTATGGTACGTCATTTGGAGCATATGAATTTTATTTCTGAGAGCGAGTGAATTTTTTCTATCTTGAGTTCCGACGTTATTAAAATTTATGGTGTGTGGAATTAAGCTCTTTGATTAGGTGAGGGCAGATGATTCATAAAGGAAAGGTAATGTTTTTGACCTCCATGTTAGAGTAAGTAGGTGAATTATGAATAAAGCATGGTATTTGTGAGTCGATTATTGAGGCGAGGATGTCACGCCTTTGTGCTTAAACTATTTTAAAGAATCTTGGTATAATAAGTTAAGGGAATTGCTTAATAGGTTGTGTCCATAAGTGTAGCTTGATTGCTCGAGGACGAGCAAATGTTTAAGTGTGAGGTGTTGATGTGAGGCTATAATTCATGATTTTGCACATTATATGCTTTGCGTTTTACATGCTTTAATGTTAAATTACACTTTGTTTGAGCGTAATTGAATCTATTTTATTTTTAGCTGCATCGAAAATGAAAGTAGAGATAAAGGGATGCTTAAACGACGAAAGTGCGCTCAAGAACGGTGAAAAGAAGAAGCCAGGAAAAAGCCAGCTCGACCAGGCTTTAGACTGGTGAGGCCAGCTTAAAGCCAGGCCCAACCAGACGTTAGCCTGGCGACGCCAGCTTAAAGCCAGGCCTAGCCAGGCATTAGCTTGGCGACACCATCTCATAGCCAGGAAGAGGCTGGCGTTAGCTCGGCGACGCCAGGCCTAGTCCGAGTTTTGAAGGTTTTAATTGTTTCCCGGATTGACTAGGAGTTGACCTACACGTTTAGGGCTTGTCCCAAACTTATAAATAGACCCAAAAACGCCACTTTGAAGGACTTTTGCAACCGGAGGCAAGAATAACTTGTGGAACACTGCTTGTGTGTTCAAATCATTGGTTTCTAAATCCCTCTATCTTTACTCTGTAATTTAATTGTACAAATTACTTTGGATATTGTTACTATGAGTATGAGTAGCTAAACTCATAATCTAGGGTTTTGATGGAACCTGTTGAAGGATGATTTTATCGTTATTTTAATAGAGATTTACCATAGTATTATCTCTATTTGTTCAACTATATGCTTATTGATGTTGATTGAAGGGTTCTTAATTAACTGTTCCTATTTAGTGTGAATTACTCGGGAGAGAGTTCATATTTAGGTAGTTGTTGAACATCATCACTCCTAACGTATATGATGGATCAATACGAAGGGTTTAAAGGTGGTATTAAGGACAACGAAACCTTGGGTGCGATCTAAGTGAGTTATACTTAAGGCCAACTAGCGTAATTCGGAAGAATATGTCTAGTATATTGTTGTAATTACTCGGGAGAGAGCTACGACAGTCAGAGTGCTCATGATTGATAGAGAATACTTAGGCAAATTTATAGCAAACATAGCGGAAAGGATTCCCACAATATGGGAAACCAGAACCTTAGATCATTCTCATTCTTGCTTACAAACCGTTAGTAGTTAGTTATTAATCATTGCATTTTCATTACATAATAGTATTTAGTTAGTAAACATCCAACTTATTACTTAAATATCTCCGAAGATTGAATACGTGAATTTCTGTGAGTCTAATAGTTGTGATTGATAGGTTAATTCCACGTGGGATTCGACTCCAGACTTGTTAACCGGAATATATTTGCAGCGACCGCTTTGTCCTTTTTATATGGCATAGTTGGGCGTGATCAATACTCATTTAATACAAATATGATACATATGTAATAAATAAATGATACACAATGTGATGCACATGTCATCATTTTTCATGTTCATCTTCTACTTCAAATTTTCAATTCAAAACACCTTAAAACTCTACCAAATCGTCCCAAAACTGAGATTTAAACTCCTTAAAATTTATCCAATCTATTCCAACAACTCCCACTCAAAAGAAAGCAAAAATTTGACTTTTATTTTGGCTACAAATAATTAATTAACTAATATTGATAATATTTTATGAATTAACTAATTTTTTGTATTAACTTGCTTATGGGTTGACATAATTGATAATTTCTCTAATAAAAAATTCTATCAACAACCAAAGAACAGACCTACCTGCCGGCCATATTTATTTTTCTTTTTTATTAATGGGATTGGCCCCACATATAAAGGATTATTATATTATCCTAGCCTCTATAATTGAGGTTTGGGGGTTTAGCCATTTCTTAAAGGCCGAGAGGGAGAATATGAAGAGAGGGAGATCAAGTGCTCAATTTACAAAAGTAAAGATCGAAAGGGATGCAGAACCGGGTATGCTCTCATTTTCTTCACTATATTGATGTTTAAGAAGCTATATTACTAACAGATTTAAACATTTGATCCTATATATTAGTGAAATCTCTGTTTTGTCAAATTTTCTACCCTTATTTTTCCTTAATGTTAATTAAAACGTTGCTAGTGAATTAACGTTATTTACACGTTATAATTTGTATCTTAAGAAAAAAGATCATCCAATCGAAGCTTATGCTATGTTTTATTGTTATAGATCCATGGTCATTAAGTCGAACGATGCAAATTATTATTCAAGATGATACCTATAGAGACATGATTAATTGGCATTCATTACCAAAATCATTTTTACCCCCCAAGTTTAAACTCGAGGACAGTGGCCTTTCAGAATCAAAAGCTTTTATCCTTATGGTTGAACCAGATGATTGTATAGCTGCAGTTAAAGCATATATTCAAGAGGAAAAGGGGATTCCATTTAAGAAACAGAAGCTATTGAATAAAGATGGGGGAGTTTTAAGAGATACACAGACTCTTCTTTCTGCGGAAATCAAGCTAGGTTCTACCTTAATCCTTCGATATGCACCAATAACACAAATATCTGTGAAAACTCTTACGGGACGCACTATATGGTTAATGGTTGAGGGTGATGATACCGTTGCAGATGTTAAGGCTGTAATTCAAGAAAAGGAGGGAATTAGGTTTCATAAGCAGAGGTTACTCTACAATGGACAAATATTAGAAGATGACAAGCTTCTTGTCCACTGCGGAATTCAGTATGACAGTGTTTTGGATCTTCTCTTAAGGTTGTGCGGTTGTTGAATATTGCACAATCTTGCCTGGCAAGGATATATACAGGATTATGTTTTTTTTTTTTTTTTTTTTTTTTTTTTTTTTTTTTTTTTTTTTTTTTTTTTTTTTTTTTTTTTTTTTTTTTTTTGATTGACTAGATTTTTTCTATGTTTTTCCTGTATTTGTTGAACAACTTCCTGTATAATGTTTGGTAAGTGCCGTTCGAGCTAAGCATGGATCGATTATCCTTTTCAATCAATTTGTTTTCACTTTCTTTGGAGCCAAAGCCAACCGCTCGCACCTTCTAATCGGGGAATTTATAGTTCTCTTCCACACGTGTCCGAACCATCTAAGCTTTGCTTTCCGCATCTTGTTGTCCACGGGAGCAACGCGCATCCAGACCTTTCTAATGAAATTTTACTGGGTATGTTGTTGTTGTTGTTTTTCTTTGTCCGTTTACACTTGTTGCTTTAGATCTGTTACTACCTCAGGTCTTTTTGAAATATATTGTTTATGTGACTTTTTGGCTAATCCATTAAGATTTATTACTATTTTACGTTTTTTGTTTAAGGATTGGCACACCTATTAAGAAATACACTTAAGTACAGTCCACATATATATATTGCAACTAGATAGTCTAAATATAACTATGTAAAGTTATAACTCAAAAAGAATTGGTCAAGATTCGAGATTTATCTCCAAATAGGTTCTCGAAATTACTATCTAATTTTTTTAAAAGCTCAAGTTTCTTACCAAATCTCAGAATCAGTTATTTGGACTTAAATGTTAGTTCAACAAACCATTCCATTTGGGTGGTGAAAATTATTTTTGAAAGGTAATCCACTATGGTTAAACAAGCTTAAACAAATAGGTTTAATTTCAAATTTGATTTTGCGAGAAATTTGGAGCGGGTATTGTTTAGACTTGTTAGAAATAATTTACGAAGCTTGTTTACAAAATTTGAAGTCATTTAATGGATATTTAGATTGGTTTTGAACAAGAATTATAATTTTATACAAGACAGATACATTATGTTTATATATGTATAAAAGTGTATAATCGCATATAATATGTGCTTGTACACCCATATATATATATATTACTATATAATATTATACACTATTATACAAAAACTGACTTATGCGTCCCTTTTGAAATTTAATTCAAATCTAGTTCAAATCACCCCAAATTAAATTTTCAAACTCCTTTTGATATTTTCAATCGATTGGAATAACACTAATCCAAATAACTAACAAATTCGAAAAAACAAATATCTGAAATCAAAGCTTCGTATAACCTTTAATTATGGACTTCTATTCTTCGAAGTTTTCAATCAACTACAATAAGAGAGAAACTCGACTAAGGGTGGCAAACGGGCCTGGCCCGGGCTTAAACGGGCCTCGTGGGTCGATCCTATATGGGCCCGGACTTCGTGGGCCGAACTTAAATGGCTTCGTGGGCTTTTGGAGGTAATCGAACCGTGACCGGGACCACGAACTAATGGTCCCGGACTAAGCGAGCCAATCCCGGGCCTATACAATATAATTTAAATAATTTACAAGAAATTGCTTTATATAGTATATTGTCTTATATAAAATGTATATATAGTGGTATAGTATTATAGATATACTAAGATGTGACGACCCGGTCGGTCGTCTTAAGAATTAACGCCCTGATCCCCTATTAACTGCTTTCACCAAGTTTATTTCTGCTATTTTGATTTGCCGGGATGTTCGGTTTTGAGTTTCGAAGAGTTTTGGGATACTTAGTCCCTAAATGAGAGCTTAAGTGTTGGAAAGTTGACCGTAGTTGGAACAGTATGAAGACGGCCTCAGAATGGAAAATCGATGGTTCTGTTAGCTTCGTTGGGTGATTTTGGGTTTAGGAGCGTATTCGGATTGTGTTTTGGAGGTCCGTAGCTAATTTAGGCTTGAAATGTCAAAAGTTGAAATTTTTGAAGTTTTCGGTTCGATAGTGAGATTTTGATCCGAGGGTCGGAATGGAATTCCTAAAGTTGGAGTAGCTCCGTAGTGTTTAATGTGACGTGTGTGAAAAATTTCAGGTCATTCGGATGAGGTTTGATAAACTTTTTGATCGATAGCGTATTTTTAGAGTTTTTAAACTTCTTAGGCTTGAATCTGATGCTAAATTGGTGTTTTGATGTTGTTTTGAGTGTTCCGAAGGTTGGAACAAGTTTGAATGATATTATTGGACATGTTGGTAGGTTTGGTTAAGGTCCCAATGGCCTCGGGTGTGTTTCGGATGCTCAACGGACCATTTTTAGACTTGGAGAAGGATAAGATTTTTGCTGGTATTTATTGCAGTCTGTTCTTCATCGCGATCGCGTGGGGAGGATCGCGAAGGCTTAGATGCGGCAGAGGGAAATTTTGCTCTTCGCGTTCGCGTGAAGAGGAATGCGAACGCGTAGTTATGGGCAGTGCTTCATCGCGAATGCGTGGGCTAGGCCGCGTTCACTTAGAAGAAATAAGGCAGCAGTGGAGTTTAGTGTTTCTCTACGCAGTCGCGTGAAGCCAACCGCGATCGCATAGGTTTGAGGGAGATAAAAGTATCGCGTTCGCGGACAGGGTTCCGCGTTCACGTAGAGTAAATCTGAGGCGCGTGGGTTTTGCTCTTCGCGATCGCGATAAGGCTTCCGCGATCGCAATGAATGTATTGCCTGGCCAGATTTTAAAACCCAAAATCGAGGGTTTAAGCCATAATTCATATTTTGGACTTGGGAGCTTGGGAGATTGCGATTTTGAAGAGATTTTCACCTAGGCGATTTGGGTAAGTATTCCCTACTCGGTTTAGACTAATTTCCATGAATCTACCCTTAAATCCATCATTTAATTTCGGAATTTGTATGAAAATTGGGGGAAAGTTCTTAGACCAAGAATTTGAGTTTTGGTCATGGGCCCGAGGGGCATTTTGGTAATTTTACCTAATTTCGCGTATTAGCTTAGAATTTAATTGTAGAATCAGTTACTTGAAGTGTTATTTACATTATACAATTGAATTAAATTGATTTGGGCCATTTGGAGTCGAGTACTCGTGGTAAGAGCGTGGTTTCGGGTTGATTTTGAGCCGGTTCGAGGTAAGTGGCTTGTTTAACCTTGTGTGGGGGACCTTCCCCTTAGGATTTGGTATATTTGATAATTGAAATGCCTTGTACGTGAGGTGACGAGTGAGTACTTGTGCTAATTATTGGAAATCTAATTTTCTTTAAGTAATTACTAGTATGTTTCTTTCTTGTTTCTATTACTTGTACTATTAAGCCTATTGTTAGCTTAGGAAAGCATGTCTAAGTGACTTAATTGCTTTACTTGCTCAAACTGCCTTACCTGAATTCTGTGCAGCATGCGAGGCTAGAATTACTTGTTTGCCTTAATATGAAATCTGTCATTTCTGAATATTTTTCTTGTTGTTGCTGTGTATTTACATTAGGACTACGGATGTGGGATTCTGATAGATCCCCCTGCACAGTTATATGGAACTATGAAATGCACCCGGTAGATTCCCCCAGTACTGGGTATTTACATTTGGGAGTACGGAACGGGATTCCGGTAGATCCACGCGCACTATGAGTTGGACTATGGGACGGGATCCCGGGAGATCCATTGGATATGTATATATGGGACTACAAGACAGTATCCTGGGAGCTCCTCGGTTGTTATTTTGGTGCGAAGTTGGATTTCTTTCCGTGTTTTGCCTTGTCTTTGTAATAACTGTTGTTGCCCTTTTTATATCCTGTGTTACTTTTACTGTTGTATTTATTTATATTGTTCTGTTCTACACTGTCAAACTTTATAATTTATTTAACCTCAGTAGGGCCCTAACCTTCCTCGTCATTACCCGACCAAGGTTAGGCTTGGCACTTACTGAGTACCGCTGTGGTGTACTCAAGCCCTTTCTGTGCATGTTTTTCATGTGCAGATCCAAGTACCGCAACTCAGTCCTACCACCTGTGAGGTGAGGCGACTGCTCTATAAACTTCGAGGTACATCTGCCGTGTCCGCAGACCGAGGAGTCCCTTTCTATTCTAGCTTTTAAATAATTGCCCTTTTATATTTCTTTCCTTTGTTAGATATTCCGGAGTTAGACATTGTAGATATCCAAAGGCTTGTGGTTCCGTGAGTTTCCGGATTTTGGGATAGTGTACTTGATTCTGAGAATATTGTGTTGTATATGCTGAGCGGCATTTTTACTATTGTTTTCATTCGGTTATTTTGGCTTTTGATTATTTCTTCCGCAAGTTTCGTTTATGTTCCGCATTTGTTAGGCTTACCTAGCCGTAGAGACTAGGTGCCGTCACGACAGTTCACGGAGGGCGAATTGGGGTCGTGACAAGTTGGTAACAGAGCTCTAGGTTCATAGGAGTTATGGATCACAAGCCGGTTTATTAGAGTCTCGCTGATCGGTATGGAAACGTCTGTACTTATCTACGAGAGGCTATGTAATTGTTAGGAAAATTCTACTTTATTTGATTTCCTTGTCGTGCGATATTTTGATATCCTTGTAGAGGCCGAGGAAGTGCATGTGGTGCAGCCAGAGCACTTGTGCGAGCTGCCGCTGAGGTACCACAAACAGTTCCAACTAGAGTCCAGGCACCTGACACGCCTACTGCTACTACTACTCCAGCTCTTCAGGAGACTTTGGCACAGTTCATGAGCATGTACACCTCTCTGGCTCAGGCAGGGTTGCTTCCCCTTGTTGCAGCTACATATCAGACCGGGAGAGGAGCACAGACTCCCATCACCCACACTCCTAAGCAGTGAGTGCATGTTGAGCAGGTCCTTGAGATTATTCCTGTACTGCCTGCAGTGCCAGTTCAGCCCGAGGACAGGGCAGCGTCTTCCGAGGAGGAGCAGCTAAGGCTTGAGAGGTTCAAGAGATACAAGCCTCCTGTATTCAGCAGTCTAGCATCGGAGGAAGCTTTGGGATTTCTAGAAGAGAGTTACCGCATTCTCCGTACCATGGGTATATCAAGATCGAGCGGGGTTTCCTGCACTACTTTCCAGCTTCGAGGAGCCACCTATGAGTGGTGGCACACCTATGAGTTAGATAGTCCGGATGAGGTTGCTTCACTGACTTGGACTCAGTTTTCAGATCTGTTCCTGAGAGATTATGTTCCTCATAGCCTTAGGGACGCATGGCACGCAGAGTTTGAGCATTTGCGCCAGGGTACTATGACTGTCTCAGAGTATGTTGTCCGTTACACCAGTTTGTCTAGGCATGCACCAGCCTTGGTTTCTACTATTCGCGAGAGGGTTCGCCGGTTTATTGAGGGCCTTATTCCCAACATCAGGTCTAGCATGGCTCGTGAGTTGGATATGGATATTTCTTATCAGCAGTTGGTGAGCATTGCTAGGAGGATTGAGGGTATGCATGCTAGGGAGAGAGAGGAGAGAGAGAGGCCAAGAGGTCTCG